CCCCCCTTCCCCTTCCCTCCCCCCTTTCTTTCTTTGCTTTTTGGGGTTTTCCTGAATGGAATACTCAGGATCACCCCTTTCTTTCTTTGGTGTGTCCCTGGACGACTGTTCGCAGCTGGGAACACCTGCCTTTTTCTTTTCTCTCCTCTCCCTTTCTCTCCCTTTCTCTCCCTCTCTCTTTCTTTCTTTCTGTCTTTCTTTCTTTCTTTCTGTCTGTCTGTCTGTCTGTCTTTCTTTCTTTCTTTCTTTCTTTCTTTCCTCTCTTCACCTTTTTCCTCCTTGGGTGTCCCTGGATGCTTTTGTCATAGCTGGGAACCCTTTTCCTCTCTTCCTTTGGTGTGTCCTTGGACGCTTGTGTCGTAGCTGGGAACACCTTATTCCCCTTTCCTTTCTTCTCTTTCTTTTTCTCTTCTCTCCCTACCCCTCCCTCCCGTCGGGACCTTACATTGGTTTGCTACTAGGAGGACGCTACTTTGTTGCTTCTACAGTAGGGGTTCCTCGCCTTACTACTAGGCGCAAGGACGCTCTAGGGCAGAGATGCCTCCCCTTGGGGAGGCGTGTGTGTGTACCCCTTGTAGTCACAGGGATTCCGTTGAGTTGTTTTTCTTTTTAGCAGGGGGCCCATGGACACTTGGATGGCATGGGCCAACGAAGACCCATCCAAGCTGTCGTGAAAACGTACCTGCTTGGTGCACCTGGGCGCATTGTAAGATGCAGCTGGTGGCCATTTATTCCTTTTTAATTCTGCAGATGTGCACGGACCGCCGTCATCTTGTCGATCCGAACTCGTCGATTTGGTGCTTGCGCTCTGGGCCTCACTTCCGTTTGAAGACCCCCAGCCTCCATTAGGTTTTACCTGTACTCTTAGGAAATGGTAACCTAGGCCGGCGTGTGGCACCGCTTTCAGTTCAGTACACCCTATCCTAAGTGTGTGTGTGTGTGCGCGCGCTCTACGTGTTGCGAACATCTAAACACAAAGCAATTGGAGTCGAAATTTGGTTGATCAAACTTTGAACTTCGGGTTTCAGATCATTCTACTTCAGAGTTCCTGACTCATCAGAAGTGCCTTGGTCAAAACGAAGGAAGTGAGCTCGACTCAAAGACACCTTGGGTGAAAGGATATGTTCAAGCAACATTTGTCATCCTCCACCACTGCTGAGCTCGCATGGATTTAGTATACAGTATGAGAAAAGACCTCACATGACATGAGACTCACTCACATGACTCTACTAAGATTGGCTTGCAATTCTCTGCTCTTTACAATGAACAAGGCTGTGCTGAGGCCTCTTCTCGGTCGGTCAGATTGGAGCCGCGGAAGGCCTGAAACCATCGTTGAAGAGCTGGAGAACAAACTGTCCTAGATCAACACCTTGACTTCCAAATCCTGGACTCCTAACAAAATCCTACAGAAACTGGATCATTCAACAAACGAATCAAGAGCGTTTTCACCGGACCGTTCCTCTCGAGCCCAAGCCGATTGAGCCCCTTGCTAAGCTTAAAAGCAAAGGCATCTCTTCAAGGCCAAGCCTCAATTCGTCTTCACATTCCTTCTTGCTTTGTGGATGACTAACTGCCACACTCTGTGGCATATCTTCGGACGGCCAAACAGTCCACACATGTTTCTCTGCTGCGAAGTCGAGTTTTCTTTGTCTTGATCCCGGATTCAGCTGCCTTTGGCATCCTCCGCTCTTCCCGGGCTTCAAGAATTCACTCGCTGGACTCAGCGCGGACTCACAGGGATCCCATGGCTGTCCGGAAGCCTGGCAGTTTGGCCATCAACGCGTTTCTCAGGTCTGAACAACTGCAACATCCGAAAAAGTATCGAAAAAACTTGCTTTTATCCCTTACTTGGCAAGGCAATGATTTGATAACTGCACTTCTGACAAGGAAGGCGTTTCAGAGTTCGGTCAGTTTCATTTGTTGAATGTTCTCTGTAATGCTTGACTCCAACTTTAGAACCATTAGACGTTCAAGCGAATTCATCACGACCATAACCATGACCAAGTTGCAGTTGGGACAACTCGGTGAACCGCCGGCTCACTCGTGGTCAAAGCCGAACCACCAAATCCTCGGCATCATGCGAGTTGAGACCATGAACTAAGGGTTGGGAGTTGGGAGTTGGGACCATAGTAGCTTCTTGCTGCTAGTAGCGAAGGCCTCCACCTAGTAGCGATGGCCTCCAGATGCCTCCAGCTAATAGCTTCTTGCTATTCTCTAACCCTTTGGAGCTCTGAATGATGTCACTGCATTTTTGTAGAGACATGGCCAAGTTGCACTGAGCCAACACCACCGAACATCAGAATCAAGAATGTAGTCCGGGATACAGCAGTAAACCTCGAGTATGCAAAAACATCCGGTGAACAAAAAAGAACAAAACTTCTTTGGAACATTTCAAATCCAGAAGCTACTAGGAACAAACACCATCGCTACTAGGAGCAAGGACGCTACTAGGGGCGCTCCTAGCCTTACTACTAGTAACAAAAGGACCCTACTAGGAACAGAAGCTACTAGTAGCAAGGGCATTGAGCCTCATGGGTCTGTCCCTCGCTTGAGCTCTGCTTTGAGCTCTCTTCACCAAACCGTCCTGTTCGAACCTGTTGGGAAACCCGTCCGGATCCGTCCGGGAGGTCCGCGTGTCCGCGACCAAACTGTGTTGCCGCACTCATCTTCAACCCATTCCTCGTCCCATGCCTTCAAAAAGGGTGTTGCTTTTGGATGTCCAATACGGAACCCTGGAAAAGAACATGGCCAATACAAGTGCAAATGAATGCCTCATTGACTTCGTCCACTTTATTCTTCTTCACTTCCAGATCCTCGAAGCTCTCAGACTACAAAATTGAGCTTCGCAGCAAGCGGTCCATGCACACTGACAGCGTCCTCCAAATCATCTGCATCCCGTTCGAGAGCCTTAGCGACAAGCAGCGACACACCCCGAAGTCTCCGACAAGTGAAACGGTCGAGTCGATGGCGGAGAGCGAAGGTTCTTGAATCCTTATTGCTCCTCAATTGGGTTATGCAATAGCCAGCTGGAACACCAGCATTCTTTCTCGTTTCCCCTTGGGAGTTCTTCCCTTTATCTTATAACGCAATCACAGATGGCCGATTCGCCTCCAACAGCATCGCCCGGCCACCGTCGTCGATGAGCAGCTCGTAGGCCAGGGAAATGCGCCTGAAACCTCACGGCAGTAGAGAAGATCTTCCAAATGTTCAGCTTGTTTTGATGTGTGATCCCCAGTCTCAAGCCAAGCTAGCAACGTTCTTCGGCATCCTCAGCGTCAAGTGAAAGACTTTGCTTGCCTTTATCTAAGTGTGGCGCGAGGTCCGGCAATACCCACAAGGAGAGTCTCCTAGCTTGCCCAATACATCCGCTAATCACTTGTGCCGTTACTTAGACCTTCAATTGTGCACGTCTTTCTGGTTTGGGTTTCAAAGGGCTTCTTGTGAAAGGCAGCGCCCAAACACATGGAAAACCCAAACCTTGAAAGGCTGGCAAAGAAGCTGAATGCAAAAAACGGCTGTTTTGGGCACATGGCTTCGCGTTCGGAGACATCTGGATGCTCCACCCTGCAAAATAAAGGTTTTATATTCAGTTTTGCTGCAAGAAACAAGCTGGACAATAAACAAATCTTCAAGACCGAAAGGAAAACATACTATGCCAGAATCATTTAGTGCTCTCGGATCACTGAATCCCCACTTGATCATAAAGACACTGCTAAATAGCACCAAGAACGCCACCCTTTGTTTTTACAGTCCGGCCTGGCCACCTTGCGGAAGGCTGCACGGATGTCGGTCTTGGGACACTCGGGATCATCCAATCCCAAAAGGTCAAAAGGCTCCTGGAACTTCCCGTCGAACTCCTGGAACTTCTTTGGTTTGTTCCAAGGTTATCTGCACAGCTAAGAAGCACCCTTGCGAATTACTTGAGCGTTTTTTCTCAGATTGCTTCGTGGTTCAGGAGTGTACTCACAAAGGTAGTTCTTGACGGTCTGCCTACCTTGCACAAGGGTACTGGATCAATCAAAGAGTGACAGTGTGTGTGTGTGCATATATTATCTACAGTACGTAATGAGCGGTTTTCATTGCTCCTTCAATGCGTCCAGCACAGTCTGCGTGGCACCGGAGGCACGCAGGCGCGTTCGACTTGGGCGTTGCGCATGGCTTGGTGATCGCAGGAAGCAGAGTCCTGCCACCAACCTCAAAACTGAATTGATGGGAATGAGGTGTGCTGCTTCACAGCTCAGTGTGCACCAAGGAAGCTTCACCAAGATTCCCCGCAAATCATAGCCTATCTGAGGCGGGGGCCACAGGAGCGGCAATAAAAGCAACGGCAAAGCCCACCGCATGGCCGACGCTTCTGGATCGATCCGACCGAACTTTCTGGTGATCTGTGGTCCTGGTGGAGATCAAACGTTTCATCTGGACCAACCAGGGATCTGCGTCACAACCTCTTTCCAACCTTTGCCCATGTATCTTGCAGATGTTTGCTCAAGGGAGTGATTTGCATGAGGGCCCGAAAAGACAGCTGCACCGGAGCAAGTTTCTTTGTAGAACAGCCAAATGTCTCGACATTTAATAAACTCTCAAGCCTCAAACCGGAGAGAGAATTATGAAAATAAGTCCGTTCTAACAGGCAGAAGTGAGAAGAAGCCGCGTCTGCGCGTCCAAGGCTTTCCAAGGCTCAAGCTCCTTACAGCAGTTGCCCTGTGGCATCCAACTACGTTTCGTCCCACTTGCAAATCCAACTGCTTAATCTCAACCTGTCTCGAGTCCCAAGCGCTTAGGTCCAACTGTCAAAAGCCCGATAGAATTTCACAAAAATGAACACATAAATTAAGCATGTCCAACGCACAAGTCAAGGAAGGCTATTCCCATGCCCATGCCTGCTGCGTCCATCTTAGCTGGACAAGGCCAAGGGCTGGCTCACATCGCACCACCTGTGTCAGAGCATGATAGGAACTTATCATCAATATCTCTTTGACTCCAAGCTCCCATCCTCGCTGAAGGAGCACAACCTGGTTAGCAACAATGACTGAACCTCAGGCACGTGGACTGTGAAGCAAAAGGCAAAAGGCCATTGGTTTGGAAACAGCATACAAATTGCTTGAAAAAAAGGACGCTACTAGGGGCTCCTGGCCTTACTAGGAGCAAGGATGCTACTAGGGGCGCTCCTGGCCTTATTACTAACAAAGAACTCATGGCCTGATCGGGTCGTTGAGACTTGTCAGCCACAAACGACAAAAGACTCTCGCCTCATGCAGCAAGGAGCAGCATGTGCGGAGCGCTCAGCGCAGTCTCACAGTTCAACATGCTGCCAACTCAGGATTTGATCACACAAGTAGGCGAATTTGGGTCGTGCGCTGCCATGAAACAAGAGACTCAAATCAAATTCCATCCTTTTGACCCCCTGTGTCATCCTGCCGAGAACTGACTTTAACCTTTCCGAAGCATCAGGCCAAGCCACCGCACCAAGATCTCTTGGAATTTGCCAGCGGCGGCAAAGCTCGCCAGGCTGTCAAGCTCTGTGGCACATGTAAAGGCAAGTCAAAAAAGGAACTTATGATAATGACTTCTCAAGCAGGCTCAAGGAGATACCATTTTGAAGCAAGACAGACTTCTGCAATACCCACGAAGGCCTCTTCAATTTGTTCGGCGGGGCTAGACACCATCAGCGCCAGAATCTGCGCACAGAAACAGGAGGCTTGCTAGGACAATGGGTTGCACAAAAAGGCAAAGATTGGTGGGTCGGTTACTTGGTGCTCAAGCTCTCTTCTCACTTGGTTGAATACATTCATGAGGTTCTCAGCTCAATCTGAGCGTGAACAAAGGTTGTGTGTGACTAAAATATGCATAGCCTCGCTAATTGGCAGAAAGCAATCAGCTAGGACGTTGTTCAGCTTTGCCAGCCACTCATCAAAGTCCTCATCTTCCTGCACTCTCATCAGCCAGTGCCCGTGTTTCTTCGTTTCATGCGCGGCAAAAGACCCTGTGGCTCACATCTCCACCTGGTCTCATGGGCGTCCTCTTCTGACTCGGCACAAATGAACACCTCCATGGCAAAGCCGGAGCTTGAACGAACAATCAACTACTTACTTGTGAGAGAAAGCTCATCTTCCAACAATGTTCATGGCTGCTCCCTACTTGACAGCTTTCTCTGCAATGAACCAATGAGTCTATGATAGCCCAATGCCTTGCGGGCATGCTATATGTTTAACCATGCAGAAGGTATACGGAATTCGCCAAGAGTATGATTTTGAACTATCACTCATCGCAAGCCGCCGGCTTCCCACATTGAGGCTTCGGTCAGCTTCGGTGTTGCACAACCGCAGTGGCTCGAAGCCCACTGCACGAGACCCAAAGCCACATCGGCCAGCAATCGACCAGCACACTTTGCACGCACAGGAACCGCTGCACGCAGCCAAAGGCTTCAGGCCCTTGAGGGCCTTGAGATTGCATCTTGCATTTCTTGCTCTGTTTTGGAGTGCTCTTCCTCAGCTACTTTCTGCTTGATCTTAGAGGCTCGGTGTCATTGGACTGAGTGGACATGCCATTGGGGCCACTTTCTCTGGGTCTAGTGGTATGGTCTCGTTTTCTTTTACCAGGTATCTCTTGCTGGGTCCAGCAAGCCAAGGAGACGCTTTGGTCCTTCGCTTACTTAAATTTCTCTATGTCGTGCTGATTGTAATATGGCAGCGTTGAAATTCACAACCACAGTACCCTCTGTCACTGAGTCATCAGTGTCAATCCACAGCGCAGCAAACCGTCATTTTAGCCAACACGATTCCAGAAAGCATGCAGGCAGCATTCCGGGCACAATATGGAACAATGTCTTCCGTGTCACAGAGAGTCAGGTCAGAACTTACATGAACTCAAAAACCAGCATGCAAATGGCACATCATCGGCACTTCCCAGTCGACACCCCATTTCCGGCACTCTATTCAGCACCGAGAGAGCCTGGGCACGAGTCTCTCGCCACTTCTCCGCCACCAGTCGCAGCGAGTGCCGTACGTGTTGGACTCGCAACCTCGCAGGAAAATCTGCCCGTTGACAGCGACAGTGTCCTTAAACAAATCCAAATGATGGTGAAATGTAGCGGTATTGAATTTATCTCATTGATAGAAAGAATTGCTCCAAGTGTTCGTTGGAAAGGATCTGACAACTCTTTGTGATTACCTGGTAGCATCATGTTGTTGCCAGCTACCCAAATCATCTAGAACCCGCTGTGTAGACTTTTGGAAGAATGGCTCTGAAGCTGCCACTTACCAGCTTTTGCATCGATTTGTCTTTGGCCCATTTCACTGAGCAGGTGTGGAAATGATAATCTAAAGCATTGGGAATGGCCAGCTCTGCACATGACTCCACAGAACTTGCTACAAAGAATAGTCAAACAACAAGTCCTGTCCAGTGCAGAGTTGGGGGAAATCAAAGGCAACATGTCTGCAAGGATGTTTTATCCTCACAGAGATTGCCCCCAAGAGACTTGCACCATCTCAAAAAAGCTCAACCAGCAAGGCTCCAATTCGCTGGCGCTGGCTGCATTCCCTGGTTCCTGTCGGCCGCTTGCCACTGCTAAGTGAGAAATAAAAATGCCGTGATTTATATACGTTCGCACCGAACAGCTCATGCTGGCAACAAAAAGAAGCTTTTCCCCAGATAGCGGTGCTGCTGCAGGGCGCCACTGCTGTGCGCGCTTGGGAGCTTGGGTGCTGGTGCCGCTGCAGCGTCCGGCTGCTGGGGTGCTTGTGCCACTGCAGGGTGCCCCTGCTGCGTGTCCTTGGGAGCTTGGGTGCTGGAGCTGCTGCAGGGTGCCGCCACCTTGCCACTGCTGGTGCTGCTGCAAAAGTCTTTTTGCTATCTGGGGTCTCTGCTGGCGTAATTCAGACTGCTATCGGGCCCATTGACAATACAGGAGCTTTTCTTCAGATCTACAATACTCTGAAGTCTTGGAATACCTTGCCGATGAATCAGCACATGTGTGATCTTGACCCATTGACACTCAATCTTTGGACGAGGGTCTGAAAGTGGTTCTGCGAGGTGAAGCCAACCATATTTGCTCGTGAGATGTACGGCTGCCTGCACAGCTCATCATACTCCACGCTGAGCCAACGAGTTTAAGGGACCAGAAGAAGGACGAGCGCTTCCCTCCAAGACAAGCACAGCAGAAGCTGCTGGGCACGGGAGTCAAGTAGAACTGTACAACACAGAATGTTCCAAGAACTATCTTGCCACACCTGGGGGCAAGTGGCCACACCATCTCTGAAGGGTAGATGGCACAGCCATGGATCTCAATGTCCTGCGTATGTCCTCAGCGAAGTGAAAAGGAAGACATGCCGCAACTGTCTTTCAAGCGACGCACCTTCAATATTTCACACGAAGTGCAGCAGGCAAATCCAACGTATCCAAGTTTCCGCTGTTTTTGCTTTCCTCATAGTTCTCCAGGGTTTTGTTGTAAAGTTGGCCAACCTCAACTCAAAGCATGGCCAACAGCAGAAGGGAAGTTGCTTCACACCTGTCGGCCGCTTGTTCACATGCGAACTTTGTATGCCGAGACTTGCACAGAACAAACCCTAGATGTTTCTAACTCGTGGAAAAATCTTTGCGCAAGGCAACGCTATAGCTGGCATCCAGACCATGTTGCGCTTGCAACTCTTGCACAGATCCTGCATGCAGGACGATGCAGAGATTGGTAGTCTTCCTTTGGTCTCTGTGCCCTCTCAATATCACAGGCACACTTGGAGATCTTGGCTTGTTGTCACCAAATAGCATGTCGCTAGCTATATGCCATATACACCATATACAGTATAGTATACGGTCTTGTCCATCAGGTACATGATTCGATGCCAAGACACTGGTGAGTGCTCTGGTGAAGTGACCACCTGTCACTTCGGTTGCGAAAGCCGCATTTTTCGCAGATGGGATTTGCACAGCTGATTCCATAACCGTGGGCCAGTGCAGGTGCATGGTGAAGACAACTCCCAATGTATTGGTCTTCAGATCCTTTTTCGCAGCCCGCACCCCGGAAAGACAACGAATTCGCCTTTTCCAGTACCAGCAGAGGTCTGCGCATCGGAACAACCAGAAATGGAGATGGCTTTTTGGCCTGCCAGGCGCTGCCACACGGGGTTGCTGCGATAACGCTGTGCACATCAATTCTATGCAGCTACTTCTTCGGCTTTCCCGTAATGTAGGTCTTTAATGCTGCAACTCAAGAGAGCATGTGACAGTTCTTGTGTAGATCATCCCCCAAAAAGGCCATTGCTTACAAATGCAACGTTTCTGGGTCGAAGTTGCAGGCTGCCAATTCCAATCCCATGGCTACTTTACAAGTCAATGTCCTTCCCCTGACAACAAGAAACAAGAGCTGTGCCTTTCTCAGCCCACCTAAGAGCGCAGGTGCGGCCAGAAACATGCAGGCGCACAGAGCTTCAATGGCAAGTGCATTCAAGGCACAACCCAGAGTTGAAGTCACAAATGGTTCCTCAAGTGGGGACATAGCACGTCAGGTGCAACGGGAATGATCTCGCTAAGGCACCGGAGTGGCAAGCATCGACCAGAACCAATGCATGGGCATTCTCGTCAATGGATTCCAGCACTGCATCAACCTTTGCAGTGGAGCGACAGCAAACACGGCAGCTACACATGCTTCTCGCGCAACGTTCTCGATTGAACAACGGCTGCAGCCATGGGAGCAAAGTCATCGTCACGCAGCCACACTTGCTGACGGTAAGTCATGGTTGCATCATCTGTGCTGCCATTCCTTGGAGACAACCGGAATACGCAAGGCCAAGCAATCCAACGATGCAAATGCAAAGGGGAATCGTGGCTTCATGATTGTCGCACAGCAAGGCAGGCTGCAAGCAAAGCAAATTTTACAATGTGGCTTCAACATCAAGGGGCGCATCCACTAGGCAAAAGCATTGGTCGTGCGTCCTCAGACCAAGGCATTCAACCGCATTTCTTCTCTTTGCAAATTCTTCCGCAAGAACAGAAAAGAAAAGCTTCAACAGGCACAGAGTCACCAAGTGGCTCTTCCTCATCGTCGTCTACGTTTATTAGTTGATCGCCATGGCCAGTGTAGTAGAAAATCTCAGTCACGAATCGTGTCTCATTGACAATTGTGACGCAAATCAGCACCACAACCAACGACCATACATTACAATGTTGTGTCGCCACCACCACCACCACCACCAGCAAATCAACTCTCACAAGATCTCACGAGTAGTGGCAAGCAAAATATGATTGCCCATTCAGAATGTGATATAAATGCACCAGAATTGAGTCCCAATCGAAATAGTCATCTTCTCCACACTTTCCGGCGACCTGCGCATTTGACTACAGTACACCTTCAATCTCTTGCAGAGCCTTCTCCTTTCGGGCCCCCATTTGGCATCTTTGGAGAAAAAACTCGACTTGAACTCACCATAACGCGCCTCTTGAATCTTTGCGATGACATTCTCCTTGGTACATTGCTGGTTCCACAACTTTTCCAGTGTTGCCACCTCGCCTGAAGCACCAGCTTTCTGGCTACAACTTTCTTGTACATGAGCCACTTCCATGAAGAAACTGGGAGTCTCATTTAGGTGTCCAAACTCTTCGCGCATTGCAAACAAGTGTCAATTTCGCGCCAAATCTTCCTCAGAACACGGGGCAGTATGTTTTCTTTGCCGCCCTCAAATCAAGCACACCTTTCTCTTTCTGTTCTTGCAAACCAGGCCACAATCATGTCAACGGCATATTTTGTATCCAGCACATTCTTGCCGGCCCAGGAGACTCGGTCGCAGCTGTAATCCAGACCAACGATGAGCATATGAACCTGGATCTGACAGAATCAGGCCAGCAGCTGACAGGTAGATTTTTTTTGGGGGGAGCACACCAACTTTAAGAGTGGTTCCCTTGGCAAGTTCTTGACAAAAGAAGCGGCGATGCGGGTGTCGCCGCCCTCTGCGCGATTCAGGTCCTGCCTCTCCGGGGACGTCTTCTGGCTTGCCCCAGAAGCAACTCTCCTGTCCCAGGAACAAGAACACTACTCGGGCCTCCTGCCATCGCTACGAGGAACAAGAATGCTACTCGGGGCCCCTGGCCTTACTACTAGGAGCAAGAAGCTACTAGGGGAACTAGGCTATGTGGCCTGGAGTGATCCCATTCGGCTCCCACCTCATCCACCCGCTGGTTGTGCGTGGCAAAGCGTCGCTGTCCACAACAAAACATTGGAATCTATAGCACCTAGGGCTGGTTGTCACAGTCACAGTCAGGTGACAAGACTGCCCAGGTGGAGAGTCCAAGCTGGGCACTGTAGGGAGTCCAAGCGCGGAGGATTCGGTGCATCCTAACGCTACAGCCGCTACAGCCTTCAAATGACCGCAATGAGTGGAGATGATGACACCCACCCTTGCATAGCCAGTGCGAAGCATGGGTTCATGCTGGCCAGTTCAAGTGCTTCAATGCTCAGAATGCATACATCTCTGGGAACTTACAGGCATTCATTCAGAATTGATGTCTGCAACATGCACGCTCCACGTTGGAATCTCTATACATCTCAGCAGCCCACAAGATTGCAGGAGGAGGCCCATCTTCCTTCAATATTCCAGCAATCACATCCCGAAGACGCCAAGGGTTGCTCCACACATGCACAACACAAAAAATATTCCTCTAGATTTCTCCAGCAACCTTCGAGGGGAACAACTTGAACCCATCCTGGACACAGCCCAAGTCCTCATCCAGAATGCTGATGGCTGATGGATGCTCCAAAATCCACTCCTGTGCAGTGCTGACTCAAGTCCAAAACGCTTCGTCTGAAAGTCACGTTGCAACAAAAGCTCTTCTTCCCTTGCAGCCTAAATCGGTTTTGGAATGCTTTACCAAGGTGAGTCAATGGCTCCACAACAGTAGCTGTCCTCAACTGCAGTGATCAAAGGGTTCATCAGAGAGGAGGGACATTGATTCAATGTGAGGTGTCCCACTCAAAGGACTACTGTAAGGATCATATTCTTGCAGACAAAAAGGTTCCTGCCCATGTCCAGATCATGTTGATGGCAACATGTTCTTTGCTGCGATATGTTGTGCTTCTCGTAGATCAAGAAAGAAAGGAACTAATCGCCCCTTGGCTTTGTTTGTTCAGATAAAACAAGAGACGTTTTTCGGCAGTCCACGGTTTCAAGGGAAAGCGCTCCGATAGTGGTGTTCGGGAAAGTGGTGTCCAACAAACGAACCCAAATTTTGAAGTGCACGAAGTTGTGACAGAGATAACAAGTTCTCTCTTGTACCCCACTTGATCATGTCATTTGCAATATCACAAAACTTTGGAATGCGATGCATTCTGGCCACTAAATGGCTTCACTGTAAATAGAATGAAAAGCTACCAAATAAGTAACTGCATTGCTACGATTCCATTCCATGTGCGTCGCCCAGTTGACTGTAGCTCGGTCATTCTTTTTCAGCTTAGCCCCTGTACCTCTTGTTCCAAGAATGCATTTAAAAAGGTGACATCCTCGAAGCATAGCCAAAAGCATGTGTTTTTCCAAGAAAGCGTTCACATTGTTGTTGTTCCGCTCTCATTTCTTGTCTCATGGCCTTTGGTTCATTTCTTGGCCATCACTTCATTGCCGGAACTCATGCGTCCATCGCTTCACCTCTGGGAGGCGATGAACTGCGGCAGTCACAGCTCGAAACGAACCGAGCTGTTCAGTGCAGCTTCGGATTTCGAGCCTAAGAAGCAAAACAAAACAGCCACAGTCTGTGTTTCCAAGCGTTTTCTGTCGGACGATTTGGCTTGCAATTTTGCAAAGAAGCTGCTGCCAGTCCTTAAAGAAATTTGTGATCTCAGCTGGGAACCGCATTGAACTGTCTCAAGGCCTTGTTGGGCAGGGAAGTGGGCAGAATATCTTGGGACTTCAAATAGATTTGTGGGTCGTCAGCGGACTCTAGAACAAACCGATACCGGATATCAGATATCCGATACCTAGTGGACAGCCTGCAGACAAACGCAAAAGAGGTTCCTAGGCTAGCGGCTAGCAAAGATGTTGACACGCTCATGCACCCATTTCGGATGAAACCAAAAGCACCACAAGCAAAATGAATTTTCTGAATACAGGCAAATCGAACAAGCGTCACAAGAGCAAAAGCTAAGGAGCCCAACTTCTTTTCTTCCTCTGTATCTTTGGCCTTCTTCTCCTCTTTCTTCTCTTCTTTCTTTGGCTCCTCACTCTTTGACTGTATTCTTGCATGTGTAATTCTAGCAGAGAATAGGGCTGTCGCCCGTTTTATCAAAGCGCAGCTCCTCTGCTTCTGTCTTCTTTGTCTGCCCGACAAACACCACGAAACTATATGTACAGTATAGGCAATTGCGAAAGTGGCTGCATCACTTGATCTCAAACGACCAAGAGTCGTCCGCCTTGTCGGTTTCACTCATGCCCTCTTCAAAGGCCTGATGTCGGACCGAACAGGATCAACAAACATCTCTTTGAAAGTGCCTGTCTTTCCTTTTCTCTTTACCTTTTTTATCCTTTTTTCTTATGCATTTCTTGTGTAAAGCTGGCCTTGGGCACCTCCTTCAGATCTCCAGCAGCCTAGGGTTATCATGGTAGACTCTGCGTCTAGGTTCCGGGAAAGGTCCCAACTATTTCATCACATGTCGCAACATGAGGTGCAAATCACATATGTCACATATTCTTAGGATCAAATTGCCAAGATTGAATTTGGACTTCCTTTTCTGTTTGGACTTCCTCATCCTCGCCTTGCCAGCTTCTTTTGCCACGCTTTTCAAAGCATCTGGCCCGAAGAAGAGGATCGCGGCGCCCAGTATCTTAGTTGGTGTCTGAGGCAATCCCCAAGATCATTGCTTGGTATGTTCAGAGTGATCACACTTCGTCAGTCTTGCACTCTCAGAAATCCAACAAAGGGGACTATTTGTCCAAGGCCTCCTGTGGGGCTTGCTGAGTTCTTCTTCCAGTCCTTTTCGGGTCCCGACCACCAGTAGTTCGGAGGTGCCAAGACCAAAGAGCCGCCGTGCTGTTTTCGATGTCCTGGAGTTTCAATGCCATGGGAAGTCACTCGCCCATCGCATTCACTTCCTCTCGCTTCGTGCACCGCCCAAGTTGCCCGTGAACTGCTCTGCCTGTCAAGAGCTGAAGTGCTCCAACTCGGTCGGCGTTTCTTTCTTTTATCATCTTTTATCAATCAAACACAATCGCTCACTCACAGTCAGCTGCATTGCAAGTTTCAATCATGTGCATGCATTTGAGCCTCAGCCTTCGACCGCAATGCAAAGAAATTTGAGGATGTCGGGAGTCGGCCTGATGCTTGGCATGTTGAAGCACTTCCGCGTGACTCAAAACAGGTCAATCCTTCAAGGCGCCCACAAGCCTGACACAAAAGCAGGCGCAAGCAAGAGCTGAGCTATCGCCCCAATGACCTCCGACTCGAACGCATTCGACATGAGCGACTCTTATCTTCTCCAAACATTACTGGCGCAACCCCACCACTAGCGCCAGCGCGCGCCGCTGCCGTCGAGGGGTCATGGTGGACCGCCAAAATTGGGGGCTGTTCTGAAGCCGGTCTGGGGCTAAAAAGGCAGCCAAACATGAGGCCATGGCCACAAGCAATGCAAAAAAGATGCCTGCCGTGCCGTTCCAAGAAACGTGTGTTACCACATGCTTTTGCGACGCTCGTCACAAGACTATCCTGCCAAACTGCAGACTACAAGCCTGCTGCATCAGGCCTAGGACGTGTGTGCCCGCAAATCCACAGCTGTCTGTAATTGTGTAGTCAGTTTAACAAAATGTGTTGGTGTATGCTGCATTGCCACCGAAACCCTTCGGGTGTGGTGGTAGGGCAACCTGTCTGGAGCAATTCACTCCAAGTCGTGAAACTGGAGGCATTGAACGATCTCCATACTTGCAGAGAATTGGGGCACTTGATGCAAATGAAGCCGAGCAAATAAGAAAAATGCTGCATTAACTTGGGTGTATTGAAGTACAAAGTTATCAGTCAGCACGGGAGCTCTCAGAAATGAGAAGTTCCAACAGGGGAGTTCACGCCCTCATTCCCTCTCATGAAACGCAGCGAAATTCCGCTGCATTTGCAGCTCTGGAGACCAAGGGTGTGCTGTTACTCGAAAGAACATCTCACCTTGCAACCTTACAAGCCTTACTTGCAACTGTCCAGCATCTCCAAGGCCTCCCCTCTCATGCACAAGACATGTGGCACCGACGCTCGTAGTTCAAGAGGTTCATGGCCTGATAAGAAGAGGCTAATTGAATTTAGTTTAATTCTTGTTTCTAATAGCTTCTTGTTACTACTAGTAAGGTCCTTGCTCCTAGTAGCGATGCACCTGTTCCTAGTAGCTTATTGTTTCTATATATAGAAACGTCACACACCTTGAGACTTTGAAGCGACAGCAAGGACAAGCAAAGCAAACAAGGCGAAACACGAGGCAGCTTGACCGCCGAGACCTTGCCTTCCGCGCCACCTTCATCTCATCGTATTGCTGCGCGGCTTCGTTGGCAGCCCAACCTGAGGCTGAAGAACATCCCCAAACCACGATGCCAAACTGGAAGAGCTCCAGCTCCAGGTGCAGAGTTTACGGGCTCCTGAGGCTTCAGCAACGTTCCTCAAAGTCACGTTGCCGAGCTCGAATACGCTCGACCTGACGAAAAGGGTCACTTAGCAAATTCTGTTGAGATGATATGTGCCATGTTGACATGTTAAACAAGTAGAAGGAACAACATTTGTGTGGACTCCTCAGTGATCCCGGTCTCTAAACTGCCACACCTTAAACTCGCGGGTGGCATGCTTCCTCATAGTATCCTCGGCCTGGCATTCAGAGATGCCCTTCCGGGGCCGAGAAGAGCCACATGGTGCGCCACATGATGCGCCTGTGCATTCTGGTGGTCAGGAACCGAGAAGATGGAGTACATGTTGTTTGTGGTCTTGAAGCGCTCTGCATCGCCCATGGTGTGGCTACACAGCGGCACCTCAAAATTTGCCAGCCAAAGCGCCAATACACTCATACTAAACTGTTGTGAACTGTTAAATGCTCTCGGATTTGGGGCTTTGTAAAACAAGTGAAAACAGGCCATCTTACGTGGTTTTTACGTGTAAAAAGTGCACTTTGTGAGCTTTTCAAGCTGTGGCTTCTGGCAACAACGGGACAAAAGCTGTGGCCGTGTGCGGGCAGTGTTGGGCTCCCGGACACTTGGCTCTGCCACATGCCGTGTGTCCGGAAAGATCTCAGTGTCCCAGGCGGTGTCATGCCCTGTTGAAACAGGTGTCATGCCCTGTTTACTTCATTCCTCTTCTGTGAGGTAAAAAAAACACTTATACCCGGTGCAAGCCAAATCAAACGTGACACCACACTCATTGACTTGATTCAGCCTACTCTCTTGGGATGTCAAACCTTTGTATATAGACATATAGTGCCCAAAAGGAAATTCTCCCTAACATTCCACTTGCTGCGCATGCAAAGACTTGCAATGTGAAAATGCCAGGCCCTCTCACAGTCATCCCAAATCGTGTCTTCGGCAACGATGTGTACAGTTCAGACCTGACAAATTGTCACAACTGCTAGCACGTCTGTGCTGTAAAGTAACACAGGAGCAAGGATTTGCCTTGATGCCAATGGCAAAAGCAGTGGCTACGCAATGCAAACTCAAAAGAATCAAAGCAAGAAACCCCAGCGATCCTTTGTTTGCCGTCGCTGTCGATCCTGTGTACAATGTCCAGCGCCACCTCTCTGAGGTGTTGTCCTAATCCCTATCAAAGCTCTGATTGCTCGGATTGCTGGTTCATTGGATTTCCATCCACATGTAGCCCTCCTGTCCACAAGCAGTGAGAAGCTTGTGTGCAAATAACCAATGCATCAGACAGATGTCACAGTGTCTTTATCAAAAGTCTTGCTGTGGCTGGCCCTTGGTTTCGAAGTCCTTTGAGCCAAATGGGCTTCAAGCTACTGGGGACGTACTCCAACTGGTTGTCGTCCAGCATCACTGACTAGGCCACAACGCAAAAGAAAAGGCTCACAGATCTCCATCCTTTCTGTGGTCGCAACTGGCCTGCAAGGACTTCAACTTCCCAATCTCCTCTGGAACAGACTCAAGCCTCAGCTGAGAACTGCTCCAAATTCAAATCAAAAGCATGGGCCAATGGAGAACAGAAATTTAAGTTGATTCAAGTTGACCCTGATCATTGAATATGTTTCTTTTCTGTGGGTCTTGGCTGATTGGCAACCAGATTCAGCCTCCGGAGCCGTTTCAAGCGCTGAATACCTAACACAGCCCGCATGATGGGACAGCAAAAAATTGGCCACTCCGCATTTCGCCCAATCAAACATTCCTATCTATGTGACATGGAATGATGCAGTTCAACGCACCTTCAACAGAACATGTCTCCTTCTGCCAACAAGATACCGGCAGGGATCTCTGATAGATGGTTATGCTGCAACATCAACTCCTCCGCAGGAAGCTGCCGAACAGGATTGCCTTTATGAGGGAAATATTGGTTCATGTTCATCCAACAAAACAGGTCCAAGTACTTGTATGTTGTCTATAGTTTTAGTTGTTGTTCATATGGTTGACAGTTTGCTTTGGGCATCGTCTAACAACCTTACCACACCATCGAGTTATTTTAGAACGGTTCTTGATTTGGGTGCTAATTACCTCCCGTGACAGTTGAAAAAAGGCATTTTGTTGGTAACTGGTTACTTGATGATCCCTGTGTTCTTTTGCTTTGGGGAGAACAATGCCTCGAACTTGCCACAAAACGATGTTGGTTGCGTCGGTTTTCAGGTAGTGAGTAGTTCACATGGCCAAGAGGGATGCTTTTGAACCCTGATTCATGGGCACCCTGACTGACCTTGATTGTCCAAAGCTTTTGCGCTTCGCAAGGTGTGTGGTCGCAACGTGCACAAAGCAAGATGTTGCAAATAGCATCTGATAGCAAACATCAGTGCTTTTGATGATGCCTTCAAGCACACTGTAGATTGCAACGTGTTGTGCAAAAAAATGTGTTGGACACAAAACCATGGTGTGTGAACTGCTTGCATGAACAAGCAGCGTGATTCGCGGCACCTGCAGGGGTGGCGTCATCAGACATCATGCACAAAACTTTTTCCAGCAGACAGGGCACTCCAGGCCATCTGATCCAGGCGCACTTGGGAACTGCTCCTAGAAAGGTCTATCTAATCTATCTGACTGGAAGACCGGTGGGGCCAACCCATCACACAAAACATGGGCGAGGTGATTTGCACAAACGCGGAGACAACCTGAATGATTTCCTGGTACAAGCGCTTGAGAAGGTTGTGAAGGGCCCATCAACATCCGTGCCATCATCTGCAGCCAACGAAGCACAAAAAGCCAAGCCGGCGCACAGCCTGCGGAAAAATGAGATGCGCCACAACGATGCGCGGCTCCCGTTCTAAATCGCTTCAGAAAGAGGTCATGGCACCATCGATGTGTCATTTGGAAAACCCAAAGGCGCTTCTGGAAACACCATAGTATGCGCAACGCCACTTCTGAACCTTGTGCAAAGTGCTCTCGCAGGACTTTATGCACAACCACCTGAAGCGGGACTCTGACGCAAAGTGGCCCAGATCCAGCCGTTCTGGCTACAAAGGGACGTGGGAAGATTCTGGCTTTGGGCCTGCTGCAGCCGTGAGAGGATTCTGGCGCTTGCCTGACTGTAGGTGACGGGTCATCCTTTGAAACAACATCCACAGTAACTACAAGCTTTTTTGACCACAGCCGGTTGCATTTGAAGATGAAATTGCCAACTGATGTTCTGGGCACGCTCCTCTGCCCTTCTCTGCGATGCCGAGAAGGCATGCGCTTTCTGAGGGCTAGTGATGCTGGGAGTGCTGGCCTTTGCTTTGAGTATTGTCAGCATATCAGAGACAGTGGAAGGCATGCCAGGGTTTGGGCAGTGGAATGTCTGAAAGCATTCCTTTCCCTCAACTCCCACCCAACCCTTGCAGCATCGCGAAGTTCAACACGACTTTGTACCAAATGTCCTTGCTGTTGTAGTAGTTGTTGCTGCTGTTGTTGTTGTCGTCGTGGTTGTTGTCGTCGTGGTTGTTGTCGTCGTGGTTGCTGTCGTCGTGGTTGTTGTGGTCGTGGTCGTGGTTGTGGTTGTGGTTGTGGTTGTCGTTGTCATTGTGGCTGCTGTTGCGGTTGCGGTTCTTGGTGTTCTTGGTGTTCTTGCTGTTCTTGCTGTTCTTGGTGTTCTTGGTGTTCTTGGTGGTGTTGTTGTTGTTGTTGTTGTTGTTGTTCTTGTTGTTCTTGTTGTTCTTGTTCTTGTTCTTGTTCTTGTTCTTGTTCTTGTTCTTGTTCTTGTTCTTGTT